TAACTTGATACAAAGCTCTCATGCAGAGCTTCTGGCTAACATAACTTGATACAAAGCTCTCATGTAGAGCTTCTGTATAACATTCTCTAAAGTGGTTTTTAAACAGCATGCGATACAGCGTGTTTACCAAATGAAATCTAAACTTTGAAATCGAATCCTAAAACACGAAGTTTGGATCGTGAGCCTCCTAGAGTTCTATACAGGGCCAAAGACACAGCCAAACGTTGCAACAACATAAATTTTGGGTTGAGTATTTACCTCTAAACGACGGGAAAGTAGGAGGTTCTTGCCTGGTCTTGAACTCCGATTTTTCTCTCTCAAGCTCGACGATTTCCTCCTTCTTTTAAAAGAATAACGACCCTAAACCAGTGCCCACAATTTATACTCAAACGCTTTGGCCTATTAGTTGACCAAATCGGCCGAATCCCGAGTTTTAGGCTGTGAAGCTGCTTTCTCCACAGCCTGCAAACATGCAGGTCACAGTTTCCCCATATGAACCAGGCACCGCCTGTTCCTCTTCTGCCTCTCCCAACGTTGACAGCAACCCCCCCTTATTCCCTTCCAAGTAGAGGCTTCAACCATTGGTCAAACATAAAAAAGAATTTAACTTTAATGTATATTCCCTTTTTACCGCCATTTTATTATTCGTTTAAATCCCTAAAATTCTTGAAATCTTTTGGGTTTTACAACTCTCCCATCTTTCATGAAATTCCATCCTCGGAATTAACACTTGCTAAAACAATTGGGGATACCTAGATTTCATTTCTTCTTCGGGCTCCCACGTCATTTCAGTGCCCTTATGGAACTTCCACTTTACTAACACCAGCGGTATGCTTTTGTTTCGTAGTCTTTTCGTCTTTCTATCTAAAATATCAACTGGCTCTTCTACATAAGCGAGTTTGTCATTAACCTTGATGTTTTCCAAATTCACAACTGATTCGTCAGCCACGCATTTCCTCAAGTTCGACACGTGAAAGGTATCGTGAATACCACCCAACTTCTTTGGTAACTTCAGCCGATAAGCAACTGCTCCCACTCTTACAGTTATCTCAAATGGTCCGATATACCTTGGACTTAGCTTACCTTTCTTCCCAAATCTCACGACCCCTTTCCATGGCGATATTTTCAACAAAACCTTATCATCTACTTGGAATTCCAAAAGTCGACGTCTTCTATCCGCATAACTCTTTTGTCAATCTTGCGCAACCTTTAACCTCTCCCTGATCTGTACTATTTTATCAGATGTCAGTTGGACTAACTCGGGTCCAGCTAGTTGTCTTTCTCCAATGTCTGCCCAACAAATTGGAGTTCTACACTTATGGCCATACAACGCTTCAAATGGCGCCGCCTTGATGCTCGAATGGTAATTATTGTTATAAGCAAATTCTATCAATGGGAGGTGGTTGTCCCAACTACCTCCAAAGTCAATCACACAAGCTCTCAACATATCTTCTAGTGTTTGTATCGTCCTCTCACTCTGGCCATCAGTTTGAGGATGATATGCAGTACTCATGTTCAACCACGTTCCCATTTCTTGTTGAAAACTTGACCAAAACCTCGAAGTAAACCTAGCATATCTATCTGAGACAATGGATATCGGTACACCATGCCTCGACATGATCTCGTTGACATAAAGTTGGGCCAATCTTTCCAATGTATACTTGTCGCTAATTGGTAAGAAGTGAGCATATTTCGTTAGTCGGTCCACAATTACCCATATGGCGTCGTGCCCCTTTACCGTCCTTGGAAGTTTGGTGACGAAATCCATCGTGATCATATCCCACTTCCATACTGGGATCTCCATTTGTTGCAACATTCTAGACGGTCTTTGATGCTCGGTCTTTACTTTCAAGCACGTCAAACACTTCCCCACGTAGCTAGCTACTGCCCGTTTCATACCAGGCCACCAATAACCTTCTTTTATGTTCTTGTACATCTTATTACTACCTGGATGCATAGTGTATTTGGACTTATGTGCTTCATCCATCACTACATTTCTTAGATCCCCCAAACTGGGAATCCAAACCCGATTCCCATGTCTATATATTCCATCTGGTCCAGCTGTCAAAGTCTTGATTTGTCCAATCATTCTTTTCTTTTTTGATGTTTGTTTCGAGTAGAGCTTCCTTTTGGACATCCGGTATTTGGTCTAAAAGCTCCATTTTAATACTCATCTACATAGCTCGAACCCTGATTGGTCTGTTTCTCTCCTTCCTACTAAGTGTGTTGGCAACTACATTTGCCTTACCTGGATGATAGTGAATCTCACAATCATAATCCTTAAGTAGTTCCATCCATCTCCTTTGTCTCATATTTAGCTCCTTTTGATCAAACAAGTACTTAAGGCTCTTATGATCAATATAGATCGTGCACTTCGTACCGTACAAATAGTGCCTCCAGATTTTTAGCGCGAAAACAATGGCTGCTAATTCCATGTCGTGAGTTGGGTATCTCCTCTCATGTTCTTTCAACTGACGTGACGCATATGCAATGACCTTGCCTCGCTGCATCAGTACACAACCTAAACCCATTTTTGATGCATCGCTATAAACGACAAAGTCTTCTACTCCTTTCGGCAGTGCTAAAACCGGTGCAATGCTTAGTCTCTCCTTAAGTGTCTGAAATGCTTTTTCTTGTTTCGTCCCCCACTCAAACTTAATCGAATTCTTTGTCAGTGTCGTCAAAGGCATTGCTATTTTGGAGAAATCTTGGATGAACCTTCGGTAATACCCTGCTAGGCCTAGAAAACTTCGGATCTCCGATACTGACTTTGGTGATTCCCAGTTCATAACTGCATCAATCTTAGCCGGATCCACCTTGATCCCTTCCGTGTTGACTACGTGACCGAGAAATTGTACCTCATGCAACCAAAACTCACATTTTGAGAACTTGGCGTACAATTGCTCCTTTGCTAGTAATTCAAGAATCAACCTTAAATGTTGTTCATGCTCCTTCTCATTTTTCGAATAGATCAAAATGTCATCTATAAAAACTATGACAAATTGGTCCAAATACGGTCCACAAACTCGATTCATCAAGTCCATGAATGCCGCAGGTGCGTTTGTTAACCCAAACGGTATTACTACAAATTCTAATGTTCGTAACGAGTCCTAAAAGCGGTTTTCGACACGTCCTCTTCTCGAACCTTCAACTGATGGTAACCCGATCTCAAATCGATTTTCGAGAAACAACTAGCTCCTTGCAACTGATCGAAAAGGTCGTCGATCCTTGGCAATGGATATATGTTCTTTATCGTGATTTTGTTCAACTCCCGATAATCGATGCACATCCTCATCGTGCCGTCTTTCTTTTTGACGAATAAGATCGGTGCTCCCCATGACGACGAGCTTGGCCTGATAAATCCTTTATCTAAGAGTTCTTGCAATTGCTTCATCAGCTCTTGCATTTCTGTTGGGGCTAAACGATAAGGCGCCCTTGCGATTGGTACTGCACCTGGTACCAAATCGATTCGGAACTCTACCTGACATTCCGGTGGTATTCCTGATAATTCATCAGGAAATACTTCTGGCTAATCCCTTACCACTGGAACATCATGTATTGCTTTCTTTTCGAGCTTGGCGTCGATGATGTATGCCAAGTAAGCCATACATCCCTTCCGCAGACACCTATTCGCCTTAACTGCATTGATTAACCCTACGCCACACTTCTTTCGATCACCGTAAACATGAATTGTTTCCCTTTCCGGAGTTTGAATCTTGATCATATTTTTATTGCATACTATTTGCGCATGATTGTTGGACAGCCAATCCATCCCCAAGACCACGTCAAAACCCCCTAAGCACATCGGCATAAGCCTAACAGGGAAATTCTTCCCATCTATAACAATTGTGCATTTATCAAATACTTCGTCTACCTTACACTGACTACCGTCGACTGTTTCTACAGTGTAGCTTTTGTCTAGCCTACAGGCACTCTTATTCAGATAGTGGCAGAAGGTGGTAGACACAAAACTACCATTTGCACCTGAATCAAATAATACATGTGCATACACATTGTTGATAGGGAACATACCAGATACGAGGTCAGGTGTTTCCTTGGCCTCCTTCAAAGTCATGTTGTAAGCTCGGCCGTGTCCCTTTGGTAGCTCTCTTTCCTATTTTTCGATCTCTTTCCAAACCCGTTATTCACTGTCTTTACGTGGGGTGTCGCACCATTTCGACGTTTTGGGCAGTCATGTCGTAAATGTCCCGTGGCCCCACATTCATAACAAGTTTTTCCTTCTAGACACTCTCGCGCGGTATGCCCAGGTTTGTCACATTTGTAGCATGTCAGGCTTCCCGCTCTGCACTCTCCCCTATGTCTCTTGTCGCATTTGTTACATGGGGGAATAGTGAATCCCTCGCTTCGTGTTTTTGCCAGAGTCGGAGTCCATTTTGGTATCTTTTTGAACTTGTTCGATCCTTCCCATTTTCTCCTTGCCTCTCTTCTATCACAATTCTCCCTAGCGTTGTTCTCCTCTGCCACCTTTGCCATTTCCACTGCTTGTACAAATGTGGTTGGTTTAGTCATGTCTACGTACCGTTTGATTTCGATTCTTAAGCCGTCTTTGAAACGACCTATCTTCCTCTCCTCGGTAGCCACCTGGTAACTGGCGAACCTCGCTTTTTCAAGAAAATCGTTAACATATTCTTGAACCGACAACGAACCTTGCTTTAATCTTAGAAATTCTGATTCCAGCTTGTTTACCTCCGATTGTGTGCAGTACTTATCCATCATCATCTTTTTCATTTGCTCCCAAGTCATGGCAGCAATGTCCTCATCACCTCCGATTGCACACTCAGTCTCCCACCAATGCAATGCATAGTCCACAAAGGTTGTAACAGCATAGGTCACTTTTTGATCTTCTGCGCATCTACAGATTTTGAAGCTACTATGCATCTTGGTTACCCAGTTCATCAGGCCAACTGGGCTCTCTATTCCCTTAAATTCTTTCGGTCCGGTGCCTTTGAATGTTTTGAAACTGCATCCCTTCTCCTTTATTGTCAATTCAGTTCTCTCGTTGGTGGACGACTCCGCTTCTCTTTAACGGATACTTCCTCCTTTCCAGTGGCTTGAGTGTTCTCATGTTGAACACTTTCATCCCCTCCATCTTCATTGTCCTTAAATCTGTCTTCCAACATTTCCTTAAGCATATTTGGCACTGTATCCCGGAGGACTTGCGCCACTTGCTCAGCTATCATTTCCTTTGTGAGGGGATTTTCCTCTCCCTGGCCTCCTTGACTCCTACCGATAGGTAAATTAGCTTGCGCGAATGGAGTCGTACTAGAACTAGCGGTTCGGATACTTCCGCGACCTCGACTTTGGGCTCGTGTCCTACCTCGAACTGTTGGTGGGGCTATGCCATTAACACTTCCCCCATTGAGGGCGTTTCTTGTTGATCCACGAGAAACCATACTGACATAATAGGGTATTATTGTTTTAATAAGGTTCTAAAGTCAACATAACCCGTTACATATATATATATATATATATATAATCACTATATATAAACGGAAGATATAATAAGGAATCCACGTCGAAAATTTTATAATGTTCAATAAGCTATATATATTTCGTGTCAATTAACAATCCTGGGAAGAGAGACATTACATAATCCCATTTACTTACAAAATATGGGATACTTCATAATTCTAAACACATCTCTAAATCATGTGAATGCTCACAAAAAAAATCTATTAAAACACTGGTCTAGATGAAAATTCGATCAACTATCTAGACACGCACAATTAATTCACATACCCAAAAGATCTTTCTCTCTTCCCTCTCTCAAACGGATTAAAACTGATCTGCGGGGTAATAAGACAGATAAGGGTCCCTCAACCACTGCTCATAAGATGTGGATGGCCTGGAGTGCTACAACACACTAGCCTTTGGGCCATTTTTGATGTATTGGGCCCAATCGGAGAAATAGCCCCTCACTACACCAGCATAGTCTATGGTCATTCTCTTATAGAAGTGAACTCTGTCTCTGATTCTAGCGCCTAGGGACGAGCAGCAATTCTTCGCTCTTGTTCAAGTACAACTTTATCCCAAATAAGTGCATGACGCTGTTCCATCAAATCTGCATTCTCTTCAATTAGCTCGTTTAGGGCTCCTCCTTGTTCGACATGTGCCCGCTGAAGATTGTTCAGTCATTCATTCAGTCTAGTGTTGCCATCTAAAGTTCGGTTCAACCTCTCTCTTAGCCTTGTGTTCTCGCCCCTTAATGTCTCTATAGTCTCCATCATGTCCTCACGTGTAGGGGTGCGGGGCGTGTAGTCCACCGAAGGCTCGGGTGTGGTCCTTCTCCTGATGGGCTCTCGTGATGACACTTCACAAGTGTGGGCCAGACTATAGCTTCTGGACCGGGTACCAGAAACATGTCTGGCGCTGGGGCGGTGACTGTCAATAGATCCTCTATTCGGTCCTAGTTCGTAAGGTGTCCTACGTGTTCCGTATCTGCATCCGCGTCTGATAGACCTGGTGTGAATGGTGTGAACCATGTCTCCTACAAGTCATAAAAGGAACACTATGTCGAGTAGTAACGTAGGATCAAACCTACTCGCATGTTAAGCAACACTAATACACAATAAACATGTGCTTCTATCAATCCTCTCAGTTTAAGCTTAGGCTAAGTAAATCTTAACCTAATTACCTTAAACTAAAGCTTTTAACATTCCTCTCAGTTTAAGCTTAGGTTAAGTGAATCTTAACCTAGTTACCTTAAACTAAAGCCTTGATACCAACTTGTAACACCCTCATTTTTTTTTATAATATGAGAATGTTACGTGAATTGAAATAGATTTCCTGAATACATACTTCAAAAGACGGCTAAAATAACACTGTTTAAATCATTTACAGCGAGAGTCTATGAATCGCCCAAAAATTTACTTAAGTTCTAACCCGCTTCATACCAGGTTAACTTACAAAAGATTAATACAACGCTACTAGACAAAAGACTAAAATAAGTTGATAATTAGCAACTCTCTAAGCGTGTCC